AGATGGTTCAGCAGTTAGGAGCGCTGGCTGCTCTTCCAGAGGACCTGAGTCCAGTTCTCAGCATACATGCTGCTCACAACCATCAGAAACTCCAGTTCCAGAGGCTATGACACCCTCTTTAGGCCTCTGAGGGCACTGCACAAGGGCACTGCACCCACAGACATGTGTGCAGGCAAAACAACGACACAAATAAAAGAAAAATAACTACAGTCTCAAAAAATGTGCTTCAATTAATGGAGTCCCTTAGAGAGGTAGACCTGTTCTTTGGATCATTGTAAGATGTGAGGTATTTCCTCACATTTTTGAAGCACCATCCAGTCCCCATCAAGACCAACTGTGCTGAGTTAAAACTGGAACCAGAGGGCTGGAGAGATGGCTCAGTGGTTAAGAGCACTGGCTGTTCTTCCAGAGGTCCTGAGTTCAATTCCCAGAAACCACTTGGTGGCTTACAACCATGTGTAATGAGATCTGGTGCCCTCTTCTGGTGTGTGCAGCCTTAAATGCAAGCACAACACTGTATACATAAAAAAAAAAAAAAAAAAAACTGGGGACAGACTGCCTCACTGAGTCATTCGGCAGGAGCAAAATGGGTGCTTTTGAATTTGAGGAGCAGGGTGGATTGAGTATGTTGTCCTCAGGACTGGGAGAAGATGCAGGCAAGTCTCCATGTATTTAGCCTGAGTTTTATTTTTCTTTCTCTCTCTGAAATTGGGTGGCAAGGGGGTAGGGGGTGTGCTGGGACTCAAACTCAGGACCCTGAACGTTCCAGGCAAGCACTCCACCTAAGTCTATCCCAGTGTCTGTACTCTTTTTCCAGGAACACTTGCTGCGATCCTGCTTCATGTGTTAGGAACTGTGACGGGAGCTGGAGATACTGAAGTGTCTGCAGCATCACGTCTACAGTGGCAACAGCAAACTTAATACTTAAATATTTCTGTTTCTGCTAGTTGCTTTTGCATTGCTCAAAGAGAAACCATGTCTTCTGGAACAGCACGGGCAAATGCGCAGCAGGTGAAAGTCCCGTTTGCTTCCCTGCTGTCCCACCAGCTGTACCACAGAGTCCTTCCAACTGTCTTGCTCCTGCTCCAACAGATTCAGACCCAAGATACTTAAAAACTCATCTCTGGTATTACTAAGTGGAGATGGAAGTCCTTGGGTGCTGCATTCAGAAGCAAATGGATCCTACTTCCCAGAAATCCCTATAATGGGTAGAACTTTCAGCAATAGACACAGGCTATAAAATGAGTCAAGGGATGGCTCTGTCTCTCTCCCCCACTCCTTCTCCTCTCCCTCCCCGTCCTGTGTGTGTGTGTACACTTTGCTATTTTGAGCAACCACGGACACAAAAAACATCATCAGACTACATAGAGGACAAGCCAGGGCTATGGAAATCTGGCCCTGAATCCAGGGCCTGCTCATTAAGCCAGTCGTGACTAACCCACCAATGCGTGCAGCTTTTAATCTTCCTCATCAAGGGGCCTGCTGGCTGCACAGCCCATGCAAGCCCATCCCGATGGTTTCTGGGTGGTTGACACTCATCACCCTCTGACTTCATTTCTTTTTTCCTTTGCAAAATGGCTATTGCCCAGAGCCAATGCCTCTTTTCCAAAACGTTGCCGTGCCAAAAGGGGTTTTGGAAACTGCCTTCCTGTCTGTCAGGAGCCAGGTGACTCACAGCCATGAACCAACTCACATAACAAGGATGCCTGATTGGATCACCAATTAACCACCTCCACCTCAGCAGCGTGGTTGGAAAGAAGAGATGAGGCTGTGTTTAGTTTGGGCAAATACCAAAAGGGCTTTATCACCCTGATCAAGGCATCAGCATGGCACACTAGAGCTCTTCCAAGCCATTCCTCTGCAACTCCTGTCTCCAGATGTTGCGGCAAGAGGGAACTTGTTCCTCAAACATAGGGTTATTGTGTCTGGACCACAGAGGAACCTCTGTGTCAGGGAGTGGGAGAAGCTGGCTGCTTCATGCCTGCTGCTTTTAATGATGTCTCTGCTGCCTCTGGGAACCTTTGGAAACTGAAGGTAAAAGCATTCTGCTCTGAACACAAGGCTGACCTGGAGTGTGCAATCGTACCTTGTCCCAGCGGAAGCTCTTCCGTTCCTGTGAGCCCTGCAAGGGATAGGCAGACGTTTCCACCATCTGGACTCAGTAAGAAGGGTCCCGGTGTGGGACCTCTGGAATTTTCTTGAAAATAAGCATATGCATGGGCAGCCATCGTTAGCCCCAGTGCAGGTGAGGGAGGCCAAGCTTGGCTGTGCTCCCCTGCACCCAGGTGGGCTGTGAGTAGAGATGCTGGTGTGTTCTCTGCTTACACAGCAGGCTTACTGCCTAGGCCCTGTCTTCTGGGGGGTCAGGATGAGATGGAGACAAAGGGGCTTCCATGAACCACACCCCACCCAGGCGGACTCTGGGCATTTTGAGGTCAGGGTGAGGCCAGTGGGACATTCTCCAGTTGAGTGTGGCCTGGCCCCTGGGTACAGGATCTGGTGATTCCTGTTTTGGCTTTTCCTCTCAGTCGATGCCTTTGCCTTTGTGTGACATTCCATGTGTATGATCACAGGCTAGGATCGAGGGCTGGGACTACACAGGAATTCCAACCCAGGCTGCACAAAGAACTTGTCAGTGTCTTGGTTACTTGTAAAGACTCAAGGTGTTTATATAAAATTACTGCTCTCAGTCCCGGCCCAGAAAGGTTCCACTCTCACCAAACAATCTCTAGCAGACCACGGGGGCTTCCTATACTTCTGTTCGGTGCTGACACTGCTACCTGGAGTTAGCATCAGATTGCTCAGGTTAAGGGCTCAGATCCACAAAGCTGTCTCCATTTAAACTGCTGACTGCAAGCCCCCATTTGTGACCTGTGCCTGTAACCCACTGGTTATAAATGGGGCTTCCAAGATTCCCTCTTCGAATTTGATGCTTTCTTAGGACACTCACAGACACTAGGCTTACTAATGTGTTATAAGAGATACAGCCCAACAGCCGGATGATGAGGTGCACGAGGTGGGGGCTGGGAGCTTTTGTACCTTCTCTGAGCACACAAGACCCCATTAGCATAAGCTCCATCATTATCAAAGTCAGAAGGGACACCTCTATTTGGAAATTCCATGAGTTTTTAGGTCTGTGACAAAACCAGGGACAAAGGCTAAATATAGTTTATATTATATTACTTTTACTTTTCCTGTTTCCAAGGCTGGAGTGGATGTTGAGGGACAGGTACATAATTCAATTACAGACATATAAATGTACATAAAGATACAAACACATGTGCACACATATACATACTCTCAAAAGACAAATGTACATATGCACAGTCACATACATGCAGGTATGCAAGCTTATACACATGTCATGTACAAATTGGCACAATGCACTGAAACATGCGCCCTGTCATAGGCTTGGATGCACCTTAAACATGTGCTATCACCTGCCTTAGACACATACAGGCATGTATCATGCACACAGCACACACATGCATTCACATGGACAGATAAGCATATGTACCACCACACACTCTGAGATCCATGAGTACACACACACACACACACACACACAGCATAAACACTTGGGATTTCTTGTCTCAGTCATGGCTGTACCATTCTAGTCTAATCATATTCTCTCTTTGAAATGACCCAAGACTAGGTGTGTGTGTCTTATCTAGGGCTATTGACCCCCAAGATGGCTCTTGGTGAAGAAGGGACACTGGTCAAGCTTGGTCCATTTGTATCATAGGTAAGGGAATGAAGCTGAGGAAAAAAAAAGGCTCCAAGGCATTTGTGTAGAAAGAGAGGGAAGTAGGGAGGTTGATTGTGACTACCTCAACCCTAAACAGAGAAACTGCAAACACAGAACGGAGTTATTGACTTACATATTTAATTTATGCTTACAAGAAATCAACCCTACATGCTTTGGGGACAGAATGAGAGACGGAAGGGGAGATAGATAGGAGCAGGGAGAGAGTGGTTGATTTAAATAGAGTCAGCCTGTTTCCAAGTAGCATGAAAGGATAGGAGTCTAACTGTTGTCTCCCTGCGGCTCTCATGCCCCTCCCTCGTTCTCTCAGTGTAAACTGTGCTGTGAAGAGAGAAGCCTCTTCCACACACTTGCTAGATCCTTCATCTGGTGCTCCCCAGAGGAGGACATGGCCCAAAGCTCTGAGGGAGGAGAAACAGTAGATGGACTGCATTTAAAAATATATTAGGATTTATTATTTATTGGTTTTATTTTATGTGTATGAGTGTTTTGCCTGTATGTATGCGTATATGCCACCTGCTTGCCTAGTGCCTGAGGAGGCCAGCAGAGGACTTCAGATGTCCTGGAACTGGAGTGACAGACACTTGGTGCTGGGAACAGGGAACAGGCCAGGAGTCCTCTTAAAGAGCAAATGCTCTTAACTGCTGAGCCGGCTCTTCAGGCCCTCAGCTGCATCTCTTGGACAATCGCCTGTCAAGCCCTGCACCAGCTGCTACTGCACTGCCATGCAGTGTTGCTTTTGATCTTGTTCACCCCTTGGCTGCCAGTGTCTCTGTGGGGCTCAGTCACAGAGGGCATGGCTTGCCCTGCCTCATCCTGCAATAGGAACGCAGCATCTTTTCCCTCCTGTGGACAGGTCTCAGGTCTGCCCTGGGCTGGAGGAGGACGTCCCTCGGAAGCTTTATCTACGGCAAAGTCCGTAGGTTCCAGTGCCCAGGGAAAGTCCTGGCTTGCAGTGTGTTTAGTGTGTCTACTGAACCCAGTGGTGTGCAACACAGGAGTTCAGGGAGCCAAGTCATCACGAGTGGCTGTTGGGTGGAGGAAACATCTCGTTGGTGCATATTGGTGCAGCAAGCTCTCCAAACAAGCCAGACTTTTTAGGGGGAATGACCGAACATTAATTTCACTAATATATTGTTGAAAATACCACCACGTACCCTTTTTGGTGGGGAATATAGAGAGGAACCACAGAAAAGACAATGGGTAGTGTTCCCATGCACCCTAGAATGATTACCTGGTCTTACTGGCAGTGTCTTCTCATTTGGGCCATCTGCGGGACTGTTGAAGCCCGATGTCCTGGTGCTGTCCATGGCCTTCTGGACCTCTGGACTTTTCCTTCCTTTAATCTGGGGTGGGGGACCCACTGATTGGTCCTCTCTTTGGGCCAGGATATCACCATCTCCTGAAGCAAAGTGGGAAACTCATGAGTGGAAAAGCTCTGGAATCAGGTAGGTCAGTCTTCCCTGGCTTAGTTGATAGCTGTTCGGGATAATGGCTCTGTTTGTGTCCCTCCTTTCTAGGCCAGCTAAGAGGTAGTAAAGTTGCACTTGGCTAGAACAGGGGCCCTTCCTTTGAGGAATGGGGAGGAAGTTGTAGCTGTGACTGTTACCTCATAGAAGAAGCCAGAGACAGGGACAAGCCTGAGAGGTTGCAGACTCCCCAGTCTGAAGGCTGAGTATGACGAGGGATTTTGTTTACAGGATACAGTTTTCTTTTTTTTTTTTAAAGATTTATTTATTTATTTATTTATTATGTATACACTGTTCTACCTGCATGTTAGAAGAAGTCGCCAGATTTTTTTATTATAGATGGTTGTGAGCCACCATGTGGTTGCTGGGAATTGAACTCAGGACCTATGGAAGAGCAGTCAGTGCTCTTAACCTCTGAGCCATCTCTCCAAGCCCCAGGATACAGTTTTCTTTTGAGACAATATCTGCTTGTGCCACCCAGTCTCTCTGCCTTTGTGTCCCAAATGCTAGGATCTCAGGCCTATGCAATCACACCCAGCTGGATACAGATTTCTGATGACAAAGCAATTTTGCTAGATGAAGCCAAGGATCACATTCCCTTCTCAAGGTATGTTGGGTAAAAGGTACAGCTGCCTATTGATTCAGGATAGACTGGATACCCACATCCTCAGGTGCTTAAGTCACTTATGTAAAATGGCATTTACCTATATCCTAACTTCATCTCCTTGTCTATTGTCTCTAGGTTCCTTATAATAGTTGATACAATATGAATGCTATGCAAATAGATGCTATATTGTACTGTTTAGGGGAGAATAGCAAAATAAATAAAATGGGGGTTGTTTAGTGCCTTTGATTTTTCCCCCAAATACTTTTTATTTGTAGGTGGTTGAATCTGTGGATGTAGAGTGAGTGCATTGATTTGGAGGGCCAACTATACCACCCTCCAGATGGTAGACAGAGGGCCACAGGACTGATAAAAAAAATCCCAAAAAGAAAAAAAAACCTCCATCTCCATTCTCTCTTCTCAAATGCAACTGGGACTGTTTTAGGAAGACAGAACCTGGGACCCACCTACAAAAGCCTGGTTTGTCTTTTAGAGATAATGATCTTTATTTCATATTTGACACAATTGTTGCTTTTAGGCTTAAAAACTGGTTTCATGTGGAATCTCACAATTTCACAGGGTGTTTATTTATTACAAAAGGAAGAAATACCACCCCCCTCTTTAGGCAGGGTGTCTCTCTACAGTTCTGGCTGTCCTGGAACTCACGGGGGGGGGGGTTTGATCTCATAGGGGTCCACCTACCTGCCACTGGGTTTAAAAGTGTGAGTCACTATGCTTGACAGAAGTATTTTCACAGTAGAGAAATCTGGTAGACACTACCTTTGACCCAGTAAAGGTAAGTGTCACTTCCTATGGAACACACTGTCACTGATGTCATAAGAAACTAACTTGGAAATCTGATGTACCCAGGAGCAACTGTTATTCCAGCACTTGGAAAGTAAAAACAGGAGGATCAGAGGTTCAAGCTCATCCTCAGATATACAGTGAGTTTGGAGGCAGTTTGGACTATATTTCTATGTGAGATTCCATCTCAAAACAAAACAAAACAAAACAAAACACAAACCAAGCTGGGGGGTGGTGGCGCACACTTTTAATCCCAGCACCTAGGAAGCGGAGGCAGGCATATCTCTGTGAGTTTGAGGACATCCTGGTCTACAGAGGGAGTTCCAGGGCAGTCAGGGCTATTACACAGAGGAAACCCTGCAAAAAACCAAACCCAAACCAAACCAAACCAAACCAAACAAACAATACCCCAAACCAAAACAAACAACAGAAACAAAAAAATTCAAACTAAACCAAACCTAAACTAAACTATAACAGCAACAACCCACAGGATAGGACCATGCCTAGAGAGTTCTTACAGGTTAAAAGACCCTGAAGAGAGATGACAACTAAGCACTATGCATGACGTTGAATTAAATTTTGATTTGGGGAAACAAGCAAAACCCCATAGAGAGCATTGTTGTTATAACTAGAAAATTTTGAATATGGATTTTATATTGGAAACCATTTCTGCACTAATGCTAACTTTCTTGAATGTGATAACTGTATTGTGGCTGAGAGAATATTTTGCTGATAGACTGTATAAGGTCTGCAACTTCTACCTACATAGTGTGGCAGTAAAATAAAATATGTGTGTGTGTAGATGTGAAGACACAGGAGCTGGCTTCACTTCCGTGGAGTTAAAGGGGAAATGTTCTAGGGCTGAGCAAGAGAATGGGAATGTTGCAGCCTTTGTGGCCATGGGAACAATCCCATTTTCAGCAGCCAATACCCTGCACCAGTTCTGTGGGGGACATGGTGTGTGGGAAAGCTTGCCTTTTTTTTTTTTTTTTCTGAGTTGGGGCATCACTGTCTTGAGCTTACGACCCTCCTTTGGGTCACATGCTGAGCTAAGTCGCTCTGATTTGTCATAGACTTCTTAGGGCAGCTTCTACCTGCTACAGCAGTCAAAGATGGGCTAGCTCTTGACTCAGGCCCTGGTGGGTGGATGCAATAGGTCAAAAGGAACAGGATGAGCACTGCATAGGTGAAATCTGCTGTGCTGTCCTCATCTCTGGCTCTGGCTGTGAATGGGAAAGTGGCAGAAAGCGGTCCTTGCCTGTACTAGCTCTACGGAAGAAGCAAAGTGGGTGACTGACAGCTACGAAAGAGGCCATTAAGTAAGCCCTGCTTTCATAAACCTTTTACCAACACGGTGCCCTAGGTTCTTTGTTGTGTCTACTCTCAAGGGCAACGAAGGATAATAGGCAAGACTTGGAGTTGAGCACTGGGAGTACCTGACCTTCAACCTCAGCAAGGCCACTTGGAGTTGTATGATCTCAGATAAATTACTTAGTTCTTGGCATGTCTACTTTCTGGTCAGTAAAACGAAGGTACAATTATTGTGAGGGCACCTGAGAGAGTATGTTAAAAACCAAAAGCAGAGCCTGGCACAGAGGGGAACTCAAACAAATCAATGTGCACCCCTCTGTTTCCGGCCACCCGAGGAAGGCTCGGGAACTTTCCACAAATGGCTCACCACTTCCAACCTATTTCTTTGGCATACCCATGCACATGACTTCTTTATTGTTTTTAAACATTTTTTAGTTTTTATTTTTTTGAGACAAGGTCTCTTTGTGTAGCTCTAGTGTCCTGGAACTTGCTCTGTAGACCAGGCTGGCCTGGAACTCACAGAGATCCACCTGCCTCTGCCCCGAGTGCTGGAATTAAAGGCATGCCTTACAATACCTGGCCCTTTGCGCATAATTTCACATTTCAAAAACAGTGAAGATTTTTAAATCAAAATGACAAACTTTTAAATGAATGAGTACATATCCATAAAAGATTGGAAATGAAATTTCATTGCTTGAAAACAGGATTAGTAACAGGGCATGCAACAAATTTTCAATCAGTTTAGTGCCATTTTACATCTGTAACCAGAAAATATTATGGAGGATGAGTCATCGAGTAAGTCATTTGTGAACTAGACACTGTTAGTTGTATCAAAGCATGTGGGTTAAGGCAGTTGCTACCTGAACTACAGCCATCTTCAAGAGGCTGGGGATGAACTAACCTCCCTGGAAGCCTCCTTTCTCTCCTCGGAGGACCCTCCTGTGTCTTGCCTTGTTTCCGTGTAGGTTCCCTTGGGATGCTGGAGGGAGAAAGGAACTACCTTGAGGTGAGGGTGTGTCCTGGCCACTGGCCACCGGGAGATGCACCATTATCCCCCTTGTCCTTTGTAAGTATGGACGCTTCAGGGAAGGTCGCCATAAAGGCATGGCTTCTTCTGGTTCTGGATCTGATTCTGGGTGCTGAGCACCTAGAAGGCAAAGAGAAAGATAAGACATGCATCTCATCTTTGTGGAGAGCCATCACTTCCTTGCTTGTACAATGAGGTTTTGGTTAAATCTGTGTCCATTCTGTGACTAAAGGGTTGGCCATGTGACTGAGCTTGGATTATAAGAGGACCTCATTATCTTAGCTACAGTGATTGATTCCAGGGCAGGGACATGAGCCAAGTCAGACTGTCTGTCCTTCCCTCCCTTCCTCCCTCCCTCTCTCCCTCCTTCCCTCCCTCCTTCCTTCCCTCCCTCCCTCTCACTTCCTCCCTCCCTCCCTCCCTCCCTCCCTGGGTGATGCTGAGGAGGGAAGCATTTATCCTTGCAAGAATTCCAACAAAACAACCTCCTATAAAATTTCTAGAAGTCAAAACTCTGTAAGAAATCAGAGGCAATTTCTGTTGAAGTTTCTAGAAAACTGTGACTCCTTTAAAACTGGGCTTATCTTTTGTCCCAGACTGACCAGTGAAGCCCCAGGAGCAAGAATCCCTGTTAAGCAAGGGCCTTAGGGAATTTCTCCTGTGACACAGGCTGAGGTGGGGGTGGTGACTCTCAAGGCTCCTCTAAGAGCTTTCTTCAGTCCAGTCGGACCTGTTCTCCTAGGTCATGCTATCATTGAAGTCTTAGAAAGAACAGAATCCTTTTCCTGACAAGGATTGTTGAGATTGTCTTTTAGATAATGAAATAATTTTAAAAATCAAAAACTCTCTTGGGCAATACTTTTCTTTTTATAAAACGAAGGTCCAAATAGCCAATAATTGCTTTTAGCTTGGCTGCTAGGAAATCGTTAAATTGAACGTTTACCTAGAGTACTAACCTCATCCAAGTTGTCTTATAATATCAATTTCTCTGATCTTTTATTTGTTTGTTTGTTTTTTGAGACAGGGTTTCTCTGTATTGTCTTGGAGGCTGTCCTGGAACTCGCTCTGTAGACCAGGCTGGCCTCGAACTCACAGAGATCCGCCTGCCTCTGCCTCCCGAGTGCTGGGATTAAAGGCGAGCTCTCTGACCTTTCAAATCAAAGTTTTTGTACTGGGTAGTTTTATGTCATCTTGACACAAGCTAGAGTCATCTGAAAGGAGGGAGCCTCAATTGTGAAAATGCAGGGCATTTTCTTAATTAGTGAATGATAGGGGAGGAGGGCTCAGCCCATTGTGGGTGATGCCATCCCTGAGCTGATGGTTGAGTTCTACAAGACAGCAGGCTGAGCCAGGCAGGGAAAGCAAGCCAGTGAGCAGCGCCCTCCCATGGCCCCTGTGTCTGTCAGCTTTGCTCCGGGTTCCTGCTTTGTTTAAGTTCCTGCCTTGGCTGGACTCCCTCAATGAACTATGACTCTGGGTATGTAAGCCCTATAAACCCTTCCCTCCCCAAGTTGCTTTTGGTTGTGGTGTTTTTGTCACAGCAATAGTAATCCTAACTAGGACAGTTTTCCCCATTTCCATTTTCAGTTGCTTTCTTGGTATTATATAATTTTTTTCCCGGTAAGCTGCTGGAGCATTCTTGATACTATCTGTGGTACATTGGGGTTATTTATGTATCTGTCTGTCTTTTCCTCGTTTAGTAACATGAACTGCTTAGAATTGAATTGGGTATGATCAGAAGAGACCTACGGAGTTTGCTGACTTTCCTTTGTTTGGAAAAGACCTTCTTTTGTCCCTGGGGATCACCCTGGGGATGACCTCAGCCATCACTTCTGGAGGGGTTGGGACTGGCAGGGAGCCCAGCTTTTAACCCTTTCTGGCCAGACCAAGTCCCTCAGAAATGCCACCAGCAGGGGACCTACCACTTCTGCAGGCCTTTTCTTTGGGGGGCTGTGGGGCATGGAAATGAATCTCCATTGGGATAATGAAGAGCTCCATTGGGGGTTCATTGGCTTTAAACCGGCCCCTCAGGGGGTTGAAGACTCTGGGTGGTTCTTCTGAAATAGGAGGTAACTTCAGAGCCTTTGGTGCCTGGAGAAAGTTTAAACAGGTATCAAAACTCTGCCGACTGGGGAGGGCAAATGATGCCCTATCTTACAGCATTTCTTGTACAAATAGCCACTAGGAGAGGCAAAGGTCATGGGCTGGGAGGGCGCTGATCGCTCTGGTGTGCGTGGGCGTGTTGCTTTGATGTCTCCCGGGAGCTCCACGTATGTCCTTCCTGTCTGATTCTTCTGAGTTTTATCAACATGATAAATTTGAGAACCTTTCAAAGAACCAAGCATGGCGATCCACCCTGTAGTCCCAGCACTTGGCAAGTGGAGACAGGAGGATCAGGAGTTCTAGAACATCTACAGGGAAACAGCAAATTCATAACCAGCTTGGGCTACATGAGACGCTGCCCCAAACTCTCCTCTCTAACAGTCCCTATGGTGACTGGGGTGATGTCATGGATCGAAGTGACGTGACTGGGATTTCTGTGTACTGAGAAAAGAGGACTCTCCAAACATGTTCAGAGGACAAGAACGGAAACAAGGGGCAGAGAATAGGACCAGTCCTCTGTGTCTGGTTCCCTTTGGTAACTTCACTCTGTAGACCAGGCTGGCCTTGAACTCACAGAGATCTGCCTGCTTCTGCCTCCTGAGTGCTGGGGTTAAAGGTGTGTGACACCGCTGCTGGACTCCCCTTGGTAACTTCTTCTTTTTTTAAATATTTATTTATCTACTTTTTATGTACACACTATTGGGTCTGCATGTATCCCTGCAGGCCAGAAGAGGGCACCAGATCTCATTACGGATGGTTGTGAGTCATCATGTGGTTGCTGGGAATTGAACTCAGGACCTTAACCTCTGAGCCATCTCTCCAGCCCCCCCACCTTTTTTTAGTTTAATTTTTTGTTTGTTTTTACATCCTAATCAAAGTTTCCCCTCCCTCCTCTCCTCTCAGGACTAACCCTCCATGCCTCCTTCTCTGTTTCTTTCAGAAAAGGGCAGGCCTCCCATGGCTATCCACTAGCATGCTATATCAAGCTGCAGTGAGACCAGGCACCTCCTCTTCTATTAAGGCTGGATGAGGCAATCCAATAGGAGGAAAGGGTCCCAAAAGCAGGCAGTGGAGTAAATACAGCCCCTGTTCCCACTGTAGAAGCCCCACAAGAGGACCAAGCTACGCAACTGTAACATTGCAGAGGTCAGTCCCATGCAGACACCCTGGTTGTCGATTAGTCTCTCTGAGCTTATGAGCCCGGGTTAGTTGGTTCTGTGGGTTTTCTTGTGGTGCCTTGACACCTCCCCTCCTACAATCCCTTTAGCCCCTCCTCCACAGGATTCCCCCGAGCTCCCTTTGGTTACTTTTAAGCCTCAATCTCTTCCTTAAAATAAGAGTGGTCATATTACCCATACGGCAAAGTTGGGAGATGTAAATGAATTAATATATGTATTTACAGTAGTGTTTGGAATATGGATTGCTTTTATGACGTGCATAGTGTGTGTGTGTGTGGTATGTCTGTATGTATGGTGTGTCTGTGATGTGTGGTGTGTGATGTATATGTATGTGTGGTATATCTGCATGTTTTGTCTCTGTGTGTGTGTGTGTGTGAGTGTGTGTGTGGTATGTCTGCATGTATGGTGGGTGTATCTGTGTCGGTGGTGGTGTGTGTGGGTGGGTATTGATGATGGTAGAGCTTGAGTTCACATTAGACAAACACTTTGCTACTGAGTTTCCTCCCCAGCCTGTTTCTTGAGACTAGATTTTACTATGTAATCCAGGCTGGCTTTGAACTCCTGCCTTTGCCTTGAGTGTGAGTGCTGAGGTAACAGGCATGCTCCATCACACTTGGAATCTAACATATTTGTTAGAGAATAGATTTCTCCCCATTAGCATTTAACACCCAGTTTGGCCCCTAGCAGAAAAATCTCAGCTTCAGATCATGTTGTCACATGATCACAAATGAAGAGTCACGTACCAGCTTCAACAACTCCTGTAGCTTGGTTTCTACTTCCTATCCCCCCCACACACACTCACACTCACAACCATATGTATAATATCATAAGTGTGTGTGTGTTTGGGGGCAAGATACCATAGGGGTAATACTCGGAGTCTCCAGTTCCCAGTTATTCAGCATTGCACAGCACATCACTTTTTGCTTGTAACATTTAGCACATGAATTTAGTGCTCTCAGATGTGTAGGTGCTAGCTTTCAGAGAGTTTTGATTTCAGAGGAAGAAAAATAGAAAAAAATTGCTGTTTTTTCCTCAGTGCTTAAAAAAAATCAGAAATCAGAAACACACATAAGCATCCTACATGTTTGGGGCTCATTGAGTAAGGAAATTCTACGCCATTTATGCAAAGTAATATTTATAATTCTGAGACATTAAGAACATGATTAGCCAAACCCACGCACATAAGATCTCTGTTCCTGGAGACCCTCCCTGCGCAGGTGCTGCCCACCAACAGCCCTGCTTTGAATACAGACCTTGTGGGTTCTGCTTCACAAGGGTGGCATTGAGAGAGCTGGGTGGGAACTCAGCCTTCTTGTGTGAGCGATGGCTGACAAGCCAAGCCTTAGTTTCTTTATTCTAATTAGAGATCGACACAGGGTTTTAACACAGTGGAAAATATTGCTTTCCTGTGTTAAACGAAGGCATAGGATTCAAAGGAGTCCCTTTCTTCTGCGCCTGGCTTGGGTCAGGCCTGACTGGTGCGAGCGCTCAGGCCATGTGATCCTGTGGTGATGCTGGAGTTCAGGTCTGCTCTTTACTCCTGACCCAAACTAACCTGAGAACACAGCTCAGACTCAGGACCACCCAGACAGTCCTGGACAGAGTGAAAACAACATCTCTTACTGGTACCAGCATTACCTAGGCTGCCTGTTGTCCTTCTGAGCCACTTCAGGGGGTGATGGCCTGTCCATATTCACACAGTGGCTATGGGTCTGAGCATTCTGGAGTTTCTACATATCTTATCTGTCACAAACGCTTCCCAAACACCCAAGTTCCATATAGAATTGTGAGGGGGGGGGCAGACCAGAGATGGCCAGAATCATCTTTTTTATTTAAATAACTTATTTTTATTTCTTGTGCATTGATATTTTACCTTCATATGTGTCTATGTGAAGGTGTCAGATCTCCTGAAACTGGAATTAGAGATGGTTGTGAGCTGCCATGTGGGTGCTGGGAATTGAACCTGGGTACTCTGGAAGAGCAGCCAGTGCTCTTAACCACTGAGCAATCTCTCCAGCCCTTTGGCCAGAGTTATCTTAAGGAAGGAGGTATTCTTCATTTTAAAAATCTTCATCACATTTATTTATTTATTTTATATGTGAGTGGGCGTCTGCCACTGTGTGCATGTGGGCATCGGAGAACAATCTGTGGGAGTCAGCACTCTAATTCTAATGCGTGAGTCCCAGGAATTGAGTCAGGTTGTCAGGCTTGGTGGCAAGAGCCTTCAGGATACACCATCTTCCTGGCCCTCTTCTTGACTTTATTTTTAAAGATTTACTTATTATATATATAGTGTTCTGAGTGAATGTTTGTCTGCACGCCAGAAGAGGACATCAGATCTTATTATAGATGGTCATGAGCCACCATGTGGTTGCTGGGAATTGAACTCAGGACCTCTGGAAGAACAGCCAGTGCTCTTAACCCCTGAGCCATTTCTCATAAGTTTGGCAAATTACCCTCCATTTGCAAAGGTGACAGAGCCTCAAGTGAGCGAGCGTTGCTAGAGTCGGTTTCCCCCAGCATTTTTAATTGGTAGTGAGCCAGTCACTCATAGGCTCAAGTACTGCCCTTACTTGTTTAGGGAGATTCCCTGTCCCCTAATAGGACAGTGCTCTGCTCTGAGGAATGATGGGGGGGGGGGGGCTGCCAAAACTCCATGATTTCCAACAGTAAATTGCTATAGCACTTCATTCCAACTCTACCTCATGAGCTCAGAGACAACCCTCTTAGCCACTCAATTTCTAGAATAGGATTAAACACACACACACACACACACACACACACACACACGAACACATACAGACATCACACACAGGCACACATACACATATGCACACACTACACACATGCGCATTCTCTCTCTCTCTCCTACCTTCTTTTTCGTTGTTTCCCCAAGGGTTCTTGGTTCTGAGCTGCTGGCAGCCACTATAGGAGGGAAAAGGCACCCTTCAGCAGGAGGCTCCCTTGACAAGCAGTGGCCTCTGGACTTGTAGGGTTTTACACTCCCTTGCGTATCTGTAGAAACAGGTAGGAATGAAAACTTATCAGTCGCAGGTATAGGGTGAACTGCTAAGTTTTAACTCTTGTTATTTTTTCTTTCTTTTCTTAGAAACTTGTTTTCAGCTGGGCATTGACGGCACATGCCTTTAATCTCAGCACTTGGGAGGCAGAAGCAAGTGGATATCTGTGAGTTTGAGGCCAGCCTGGTCTATAGAGTGAGTTCTAGGACAGCCTCCAAAGCAATACAGAGAAACCCTGTCTCGAAAAACCAACCAACCAACCAACCAAACAAACAAACAAACTTGGTTTTAATTGTGTGTGTGTGCTGTGTGTTGTATGTGTGTGTGTGTTGATACATGCTACTTGCCTGCAGAGGCCAGAGGGTATTAGATTCCTTGAACTAGTTAGAGGCAGCTAAGATTGCTGAGAATCATCCAGTGTGGTGGGAACTGAACTGGGGTCCTCTGGAAGAACAGCAAGTACTTTCAACCATTGAGCCTCCTCTCTAGCCTCTGCTTTATTTTTTGGGTAGCTTTTCATACTGTAACCCAGGCTAAGTAGCCTGAAACTCACTATGCAATGCAGGATGGCCTTATGCTGGTGCCCCATTTCCTGAGTGCTGCTCAGATCATAGTAAGCACCACCATCCCTAATGTGAGCGTTCAGATCACAGTGTACACCACCATTCCTAACCTGAGTGCTCAGATCACAGTATACACCGCCATTCCTAACCTGAGTGCTCAGATTACAGTATATACTGTCATTCCTAACCTGAGTGCTCAGTTCACAGTATGTACCATTGTCCCCTAACCAGAGTGTTCAGATCACAGTACATACTCACTGTCCCCTAACCTGAGTGCCTTTCTGGTTATAGAATGAATATATAATCAAATGCATATGCATGAATAGAAATTAGTGTGGGATACTGAGGTGGCAATGGCTCGTCCATGGCAGGTAGGGGACCCTCAGTGTCACTGTCTGGTATCTTGCTGGCTGAGTCAGGTGGTGGTGAAAATAACAGCAATAATAATAACACAAGTGTATTGAGAACTACATATGGTGAGGAGATTGTGCACCGTGTTTTACATGTATTAACCCATGCATTCCCCATGGAAGCCTCAAAGTGGTGTTATCCTCATTCCACAGAGTGGGAAAAGGCCTCCGCAAAATTAAACAAGCCTAAGATCATAACTGGGAAGCGGGGGACAATCCAAACTCGTCATGTGCTTAAGCACTAGGCAAAGAGGAGCCGGCGAGTCTCATTCCCACAGTCACTGGCCTCTGCTTGCTTTTTCCAAGGTGAGTGGCATTTGACAAGTCTGTGTTCTCTGGTAAACTCTGCATTAGGTTCACTCGGATCAACATAGACCTCTGGGTTCTGACACTGGGACCTGCTTTCCTACCTGGGAAGGCACTGCTGTAGAACGTGATGAGGGTTTTGTCACCAGGAAGCTGAGGGGGACCGATGTGGGCACGCCCAAGGGCCTTCCTGGAGGCTTGCCGTATCTTTTCATTGTGACTTTGCTCTGAAGCGTGCACACTGAGGTGATTCCCTGTCGATGTGTCCTAGGAAACGACAGACACACAGCCTTGTAAATACGAGGGAATTCATGTCAGGCCTGTATGTCAGGCCTTGTGGATCGTGGGTGAAATCTCTCTGCAGCACAGGAAAACAAACATTGTCATAGCAGCATGCTCCTTAACGCCGTTATTACTATGAAACATATAACTACTGACCAAAGAGGGAATGACACACAGCTATGTCTGACACACAGTGCTTTACAGAAGAAAAAAAATCAGGAGGAAGTGCTTAAATCATGGCCTTTACATCATAAAATCTCTTTCACCTTCTGTAGTGTGGCTCTTCTCCATGTCTCTGCTCTTCTTGACATGTGACCTTGTGAAGCCTAACAAGGCCATTCAAGATGGGAACACATACTGTCTGTTGCTCTGAGCAACTGCTAACACACACCACACACACCTCTCTCACATTCCCATGTTCCCACACTATATACACATACACACACACATACACACATATCTCCCATGTTCTCACACTATACACACACACACACACATCTCCCATGTTCCCACACTATACACACACACACATCTCTCACATCCCCATGTTCCCACACTATACACCACACACCTACCCACATCTTTCTCATATCCCCATTCCCACACACCACAGGCACACATACACACACCATACATACCACATCTCTCTCGCACCCACCCCCATAACACACACACACACACACACACACACACACACACACACACACACAGCCGTAGAGTTTAGAAAGCTTTTCTATGTTTTAATTCACAACTCTGCCTTGCAGAGGAGTTCATTCAGGAGGCTAGAGATTAAGGTCTTAGTCTATTGCGACTAGTAAGAAACAGACCAAGTCTAAGGCCACAGGCCTAGGCTGGGTGGAGAGTCAGGGAGGATTTGTCTCAGCCCTGTGGGGAGCCAGGAGATGGACAGAGTGAAACTGCCCACTGCACCCCAGGACCTCTGAAAGCACTCCCTGCCCAGAGCACACTGTGACGTCCCAGGTGGGGGGTTTGTGGGCAGCATTTCCCAGGTGAGAAACAGAGAGAACCCTGACAGAAATGACAGGAACGGTACCTCGGCCCGGCTTTCATCTTCCTGCCTTGGCTGCTTCCTGCGTGGCGTCAGGTGAGTCCACTGACTGCTGTGGTGCTGGGCGGCAGGGCCCTGGTCCACACATACATCAGTCCCGGCTTCTCCTTCATCCAGGCCCTGTTGATCTGCAGAGGTTTCAGTGGGTCAGCTGGGAACCTCAGACAAACCGCAGCACCTCCAGGGAAAGGGCAGCCAGCTGGTAGACACGGGGCTGCCCTGGGTGGAAGCTTTGCTTCTCTGATACTGTTTCCTCATTTGTAAAATGGGGATCCCAATTTCTTGCCCTCACTTCCTTATAGAGGTGGCTGGGCCTCAGGTTGGAAAATGACAGTGACCGTTTCTGTGTGATGTGTGAGGGGTCCTGGGTGGTGGCGGTGTGACTGTGTGGCCTGACCTGTAGCCACTGGATGCCAAATTGGAAACCTGACCTTGAGGTTCCTGGGTGTCTCCTGGTGGTTTGCTTGGGGAAGACCGGGCAGGACTGCTGTATCACTCAGGATTCACCCTGTCTGCAGCCTGCAGGGAGGATCCGAGTCAACAATGATTGCGGCATAGTTAGCAAATCTTTCACCGAGGGCTTAAAGGGTCCTGCAGCTATTTTTCATCACCAAGTCAAGGTAGATTTATTGCTGAAAGAGTCTGGCAAGCCATCCTTGTTTGGAGCCAAGCCGTAGCAATGCCTCCACTCCCGGCATGCAGCTCTGTCAAACAATATGCTGCTTTCTTCCAACCAGGGGCCCTGGAAACCTTCAAGTGCCCTGAGTAAGATGGAGAACCAGGTGTCTGGGACCCCTGAGCTTTCCCCAGAGCCTCACCTGTCTCTATCATTCCCATCCTTGGCATCATTGGCTCTAGAGTCAAAAGCCTGGGGGCGGGGGACAGCTCTTCGGCCGTTCGTTCCTCTGCCTGGAGGGTGCTCTGGTTTAAAGTGATACTGGATAAGACTGAAGCTCAGGGGAAGTTCAGAAGTCCGCCTGGGGTTTATGGCTCAGGGAACTTAATGGATAGCCCGGGGCTGTGTTGGCTTGTTTGCAAGAGGACCTTAACTCCACACAGAGTATATAGTGCTAAAGACCATTGAATTCTAGAATGATCTTTTGATGCTAAACCAGACTGCAGATCCATTCTTCCTGGTCAGATTCTTCTAGAGTCAGATGTACTTCAGAGGGCGGAGGAAGTGAAGCTCCAGCCAGATTGGTGCTCACTCAACAGCTGTGTACATCCGAATGTGTAAGGTGGGTAGAGGGTAGACGCAGGAGACTTCTCTTGGGCCGTATCACAGTGAGATTGAATCTGAGACTCAGCAATTCTCAGTACGGCATCGCCTAGCTCAGTAGTTTATGCTTAATGGAACCGGGCTTGCAAGAAAAGCAACTGACAACTTAGCTATTGAAAGGAGACCAAAGCTACATCCCTTTGTATGTCGAGCATGGACTTGGACTATCCCAATTGCGTGCTTTAGGTTAGCAAGTTAGAATCGTCAGAGAGTTTTTACCTTATCCTTCCCCACGATTGTTTCTTTTCATGCTCATTGTACACAATTCTCTCTCTCTCTCTCTCTCTCTCTCTCTCTCTCTCTCTCTCTCTCTCTCTCTGTCTCTCTGTCTCTCTGTCTCTCTGTCTCTCTGTCTCTCTGTCTCTCTCTCCCTCTCTCTCTCTGTCTCTCTCTCTCTGTGTCTCTCTGTCTCTCTCTCTCCCTCTCTCTCTCTGTCTGTCTCTCTCTCTGTCTGTCTCTCTGTCTCTCTGTCTCTCTCTCTCTGTCTCTCTCTCTCTCTCTCTGTGTGTGTGTGTGTGTCTGTCTGTCTGCCTGCCTGTCTGTCTGGACATAAAGAGGATACCAAGAGTCTTCTTTCACGCCTCTCTTCCTCCCTCCCTCCCTTCCTCTCTCCCTTTCTTCCTTCCTTCCTCCCTCCCTCCCTCCCTCCTTCCCTTCCTTCTTTCCTCCCTTTCTGTCTTTCTTTTTTTGAGACAGGATATCTCTACACAGACCTGGATACCCTGAAGCTTACTATGTAAACCAAGTTGGTCTTGAACTCACACAGATCCTTCTGCCTCTGCCTCCTCAGCACTGGGATTAAAGGTGTGCACTGTAATGCCTGGCCCTCTATCACTCTTCATCTTGCTTATTGAACAGGTTCCGTCACTGACCCGAAAGTTCACCATCTTAGCTAACTGGTCAGCAAGCACTAGGTTTTTAGTGGCCTCCTCCCCTAACTGCTGGAGTTCTAGGTGCTCATGACCATACTTAGCCTTTAGATGGGTGCTGGGGGTTTGAATTCAGGTCCTTTTGCTGACACAGCAAGTGCTCTTACTAACTGAGCCATCTCCCCAGCCCAGCTGTAACCTTTCACAAAAGCCCACAGGGGAAGGAAAGCAGACACCATTGCTCCCATGATATAGATGAGCAAACTAAGGAAGTAGGAAGCATAGCTTGGCTCATTGTTGGGGATCTGAGCCTCACAGACAGGGCTTTTCCTACTTCTTCAGAAAAAAAAAAGACAAACAGAGGAAAGCTAAAACTAATGAAAACAGTGAGGTTCAAGTTTCAACCTCTGAACGCCATATAATTCTTTAAAACTGATTTTTTTTTTTGCTCCTGTGATCATGGACAATTGGGCATTGCAATTAGTGATTATGTTGGGAAAAATCTAGGGAGGTCGGTAATTAACATCTATTGAGCACTTACTGTGTGCTAGGGACTGCACTATCCCCTTGAACTCCCACATATGGTCCCATGAAGTGTACTTGGTGTGGTCACTCAGTTTTATAAAGAGGAAACTGAGGACCAGAGAGGTTATGTGGCTTAGAATCTTGTGCTATCAGCACCATCCCTCTGTTTTCTGCCTGATGATGTCAGCGCCTTGGTACATGGTGTCAGTGAAGTCACTGACCCCACAATTGTGAAGCCTTGATCCCCTCCCCTGTGAAAGCGCAGCAAATCACTGCTGACTTTATTGGATCCCAGATCATCAAAACCCCAGGCTATCAACTGGAGACAGGGTTTGGGAAGAGAGATGGCAGAAGGCACGGACGCAATAGCTGTCCTCCCAGGGAAGGACAGAAGAGCGAGAGGGGACATGGAGACATTACCTAGGATATGGATTGCCCAGAAACATGATTTCTTCAGTGTTCTAAAATCTAGTGGTTTAAGGAATTTCAACCCATGCTAACAAAGCACATAGAGACTTAACACTATAACCAAAAGTATAAAGGGATCATTGATGGGGAAGTCCTGTGTATATGTCAATAAAGCACTGTTGGCCAATAGGGAAGCAAGATAAGTGGGACTAGGAGTCCAGGAGGACTCTGGGTAGGAGAAACACAGGGAGTCACGATGTAGCCTGCCAGAGAAGTAAGATGTCCATCCGGTAAGAGAAATACTTAAATGGGTTAAATACTTAAGTCAGAGCTAGCCAGTAAGAAACAAGCAAGGCCAACAGCTTCATAATTAATACAGCGTCTTGTGTGTTATTTGGGGACTACAACGCGGCTGAGCCCAGGCGACTGGTGGGGGAAAACCAAAGCAGCTGACAAGGAAAAGGCATCACTCTACAGATAATGAGGAAGACAATTGCCAGACCAATGTGTTTTATAGAGACAAAACAGAACCTGTGGACCAGGTTCTGACCAGAGTTCTGTGGCACCAGAGTCTAGGGTCAAGGGAGTGCTCGATGGCACCAGCCTCTGAGGACCTGGCATGCTCCACACTTCCTATACTTATCCCAAAAAGATCCCTTTCCCAAGAGAGAACTTGTTCTGACATTGCCATTGTTTCTGGGAACTTCTGGATTTCAGACAATACCTTTATATGATGACAGGCTTCTATATTTTTCTCAAGTGCTCTGTTCCCAGCCATCTTTTCCTTTCTCTTATCAAAGGCAACTCACGACTCTTTCAGTGACACATGCTCCCAAGAAAAATATCAGTTGAAGATGGATCATAATTTTCTGTGAAGTACTGAGTAGTTTAGCGTGCCCATTATGCAGATGAACAAATGGAGACTCAGAGAGGTTAGCTGACTTGCTCAAGAGCTTCCATGTCATACATCAAAGGAGAGCAATGCAAAACAGATTGATGGCTCCTAAGTTTATGTATTGTTAAAGCATTGTCACAAATATCACAGGACTAAAGAATGTTAGATAGTAACATATGTCTGCGGCCCAAGCATTTAGAGAGCTGAGGCAGGGGGCCTGTGAGTTTTGTTAGCTTGGACTACATAGTGAGACCCTGTCTCAAAAACCCCAACCAACTGACAAACAAAAACGAATGTGAGAACAGAACAAACTTTGAACTCTAAAATCCAGACCTATGTTGCTCAGCACAGTAGCCTTGAGCCACATATGGCTATTTGTATGAATCAAAACTAAATTAAAACTCAGTTTCACAGATGCTCTCTAGGCATATGTGATTAATGGCCACTCTACTGGATAGCACGTGTCACACTTTCCAGACTGACCCCTTCATCTTACAGATGAAGACGATGGAATCAGAACCCCTAGATCTTATTCTTCAAAACTTTATTTTAAGCTCTTAAAAAATCCAAGTGTCTGTGAACTGGTCACACAACCAACAGGTCTGGGTCAGGGAGATGGTTCAGTGGTTAAAATGCTAGTAACGCATGCATCAGGACCGGAGTTCAGATCCCCTGAACTCACTTAAATGCTTGGTGGGTGTGGCAGCCTGCTTAGAATAGAATTCTAGCCTCAGAGGTTAGAGACTGGGATCCTCAAGGCAAGCTGGTTAGCAAGACTATCACATCAATGAGCTTTGGGTTTGATTGAGAGACCTGCCTCAATGGATAAGGTTGAAGAGCAATGTAGAGTGATCCTGACATCACCCTCAGGCCTCGGCACGCATCCACACACATGTGGACGAGCACACCTACCCATGCACGTGTGCTCATCTACAACCAAACATGCATATACACATGTGCATCCCACAACACATACTCATGAAGAATGAAAACAGCAATGAACAGGTACCTTGTTCATAAGATGGTCTCTGTTGAATCCAAAATGAAGGGAAGACAGGCAGGACATGGTATTTTGGGGGAACACCTGAAAGATCCTGCTGTGGCCTGAGATTCTTGGGTATCCCAAGCTGACTGTCCTGGAGCAGCACAGTGTCCTTGATGTGTCCTGAGGGGCAGGGCAGGAGTTACTGACATGAAGCATAAAAAAAACCAATCTAGAGTTCTGCACATTCCCGGCTTGTAGTGTTGGCTTTGAACAGACATTAAAGAGGACAATTAGAAGATGATCAGGATTAGAAAACTCAGATGGAATGCATGGAAGCTTCCTTGGTAAGTGCCTGGCACTCTGCTTCTCTGCCACATGAGCACTTTGTCTTACTTCACCATTCCCAAAAACCAGGTCCTTGTTGGGAAACAAAACGAGAGCTGCTTCCTGGGTGTTGACTTCCTCTGCTTCAGAAAGAGAGATCTAATCATAGTGGGTTTGTCTTGCTTTCTTCTGTGTGCCCCAGGATCCTCAGTCTTCTGAACCTAATCCAGTCGTTCTGTAGTATTTCTTGACGTTTTACCAAGCGCCCACCCTCTGCTAGGCCGCAGGGTAGACACGGAGGAACTAGGCATGGATTTCTCACAGCTGTTGGAGAAACGGGTCTCTGTGTACTCAACTCTAGCTCTGAGGATCAGTGTGATGTGAGGCCAGAAGCTCAGTATTGGCGGGATTGTTAGAAAAGCCTTTGCAGAAGATTCCAGCTTGAATATGAAGTCTAGATTAAAACCTCTGTGTCTGTTTACCTAAATGTGCACACACGCATGTGCAGGTATGAAACTAAAACGGGCATCATGAAAGGGCAGGAAAATTCCTTGAGGGAGGCGGAAGATGGAGACAGCAAGGATGCTGTAAGGCTGAGGAGGGCCAGCGGGGAAGGAAGATGGATGGGGAGCAGTGGGGCAGGGGAAGGAAAGAGCACCCTCCAATGACATGTGGGTGAGGGTGCCCTAATGACACCCGTTACTTTGCATACTAGCGTAAACATTAATTTAAACAACTTTTAAAGCTGGGCTTGGTGACTCATGCCTTTAATTTCAACACTCAGACTGAAGCAGGAGGATGTCTATGAGTTTGATGCCAGAGATCAATTTCCAGGCCAGCCAGGGATATACGGTAACACACACACACACACACACACACACACACACACACACACACACGCACGCACGCACGCACGCACGCACGCACACACACAAGCACGCAAGCAGAAAAAGAAGCTTTTAGAAAGGATGAAAAAGAAAAGAAACAGGCTTGAAGGGTGGGGCCGACTCATGACAGGGGCAGGCAGAAGTGAGAACATGATAACATCACAAGGTGAGAGAGGTGAGAGAGTGACAGGGACAAAGGGGGTGTTGGGATGTGGCCTCTCACCATTGCTCTTCCAACCTGAGGGACTGCATTAAAGAGAGACTTTAGCAAGGAGCTATGGCAAGGGGCCCACAGATACGAGGTCCCTGCACCTTGTCTTAGACCACATATGCTATCTAGATGACGCCATGGATGGATCTGAGATCTGTTTGTTGTCTAAAAGCTGTTACCTTCCTTGAGAACATCGGGCCAAGGCTGTGGGACTGTAGCCTGCCCTGCCTTGGCCCCAACCAGTGACAACACTTTTTGGTTGAGAAGCTCTTTCTCACAAGTGGTAAGTAAATAGAACGGCCTGCAACCATGGCTCTACCTAGAAAGGAAAATCAATTGCCAGGCAAGCCTACATCTCTCACTTTGTTTCAAGCCACCACTTATTGCGGCAGGGAACTGTTTTCTCTCCTTTCCCAGGTAAACCTGTAAAACAAGAATTTTCTGGTCCTATGTGTCGGTACTGAAGGAACGGCAAGCAACAGAGCGAGGCCTGGCACTTCTTACCACCATCTCTCATCCCAGCGGTTTGCCAAATAAAATACAGGATGTCCAATTAAGTTTAAGTTTCAGATAAACAACGAACACTTTTTAGTAGCAATATGTCCCAAATATTGTGAGTTTCACTGTTTGTGTGGGTGTAGTGTGCCAAATTTGGCAACTCCCAATTCCCACTTCAGGCTTTCATAAGTCCACAGGGTGCATTTGGGGTTTCTGTCAGGCGGAGGAGTAATCATCTCTCTCCTGAGGGGATTGTGCCAGGGGACCTGAGATGACCTCAGACGCGGAACTGGGGAATGCTGGGAAGAATGTGGAGCTGTGGGTACAGGAAGTATCTGCCTTCTGGGTCCAGCTAACCTTAGACAAATAAATACTTAGCCCTCCTTTTTGTCTTGTCTTATGAACAGTGGGGTTTAAGTTGGAAGATCTCTGAGACCTCAGTGTGGGGTAGGTGGGGAAAGAAGTTCTGGATTGGTCTGTGGACTGTGAGGAGCTGAGGTTGAACAGCATGATCAGGGCCAAGGACTCAGGTGACCCTTCCTGATGCAGATTCAGGGAAGATAAAAGGCAATAGCTGGGCTAGAGGCTTGTGGACCACAGAGCTTGGGAACTTTGCCCTAGTGCGGAATTGGACCTTAAATCCTGATGTTTCTGGAATCGATGGAAAACACACCTTCACATCAGACTGAGAGGTGGGGGGACGGGGGTGGGGGGGACTGAGGTCGGGGAGGGAGACTGGACTTCACTCCCTCCCGCTTTTCCACTGACCTGCACACTGGAGCCTATACATTGTATTAGGGGGCCATGTTCGCAAAAGGCCTCGGAGGTATCTCTTGGCGGAGTACCCAGGCTGGATCTGCCGTTGGCTCTGACTCTCTGGCTTGCTTCGGAAGTAGAGGTAAGGTTGCCAGGCTCTGTCCTGCTCTCTCTGCGGGGACACCAATCGGGAAATAGCATAGTGACTGAGCCCTGAATCTCCTCTTGATGCAGGATGGTTAATCCAATCCTCACCAGCAATCCAGAGATTCCCAGAAGGTGCCAGAGGGCACCAATAACAGATACCTTGCCTAATAAACACAACCCAGGAGCCCGGAAGGCAAAGCCCTGAAAGGCCCTGACGATGCGCAGTTAGAGAAGGAGAAACGACAGATGCCAGATGCCATCTTGGTATAGAGCTTTAGGAAAGAACAAAGTGTCAGAAGAATCACTTCAGCTGAGGAAATTATGTCAGTTCCTTCAAAACAGCCCAGACGCAGTGGAAACTGTGCACTGTGGTCTCAGCACCCAACGCTTTTCATGTGAAGACAGACAGACAAACAGAGCCTGTCCATGTTCACAGGGAGCCTGCATTTTGAAAATATTTGGCGGTGTTGCATTTCATTCCATCTAGGGAGAATTTTCTACAACTTTCCCTCCCAAATCAGTCCCTCTGTGCAAGGCACATGGGGAACAAACAGACATACAATGCTTGACCAGGGATTTATTTTGTATCGAGAGCCTTTACCTCATTGTAATCCAATAAGGTGGTGGGCAGAGTTCAAACGATGCAGAAACACTGAATAGCCAGGTGGTAGGGGCACATACCTTTAATTCCAGCACCCTGGAGGCAGAGGCAAGCTGGCCTTTGTGAGTTCGAGGCCAGCCTGGTCTACAGCGTGAGTTCCAGGATAGGCTACACAGAGAATAGATTTCTCCCATGGGAACTTTGGTTATATTTAAACCACAGCAGAGCATGGAAGGCACAACCAGCTGCCCGTGGAGTCAGACAGAACTCAGAGCTTCAAATTTCTCATCAGCACAAAGCCTCCTGCTCCCCAAGAACATTTGATCTCATCAATGGAGCAGGACTTAGCTCCATGTACCACCTTGATAACAGAAGAACAAAAAGTGCTTTGAAGCAGGCGCTTCATCCAATGTCCTGGAGAGTAAGAGCTATGAGACTAGAGTCCAGCATGTTCATGCTTGTTAGGATTCAGTGAAACCCGACTCCGAGGCCAACACAACGAGAAAGAAAGTGTGATAGCTCACATATCAAAAGGACCAAAGTTTGGAGAGTAATGGGGCTGGTTAAATCAGAGGTTCGATGTCTCCTGAGTTGCACAGGCAGCAAGGCCCCGTGTGCCTCTGAGAAGGCTTTCACTTCACTCTTACCCACAAGCTGAGCCTGAACAACGGACACCGGAGACCGGAGACGGGAAGCGGGCCAAGAACGCCCTGCAGAATCGGAAGGGAGCTTAAGAGAAAGCCTGCAGTGGTCTTCACCTGGAATTATGGTCAGGGTGTCAGCATTCAAGGTTCATCCGCCTCAGGACTTTATGACCACGGGCAGGTCTCCGAGGCTTTCTGGACCTCCCCAAAGTGGAGCTAACAACGTGTTAGGAGTGGGAAGTTCATGATGTTTATAGCCACATAGCCTAAGAGATTTAGATTTTACAGGTCCCAGAAAGACATTCTTTGGAAATTAGTAACTAAGTGAACACACAGTTCTACTCCCTACTACACCTACTTCCAGTCACCTAATTTACACAATCGCATCAACATGATGAACACACTTCCTGTCTTTTAGGGCTGCCCACGGTCCACGCTGTAGATTGAACCTAGTACCTCCCACATGCTAGGCAAGTGCTCTCCTACCAACCAATATCCCTAGCCTCCCCCATCTCTCCTTTTTGTCTTGGGATTTCATTAAGTTGCCCAGGAAGACTTTGGACTTGGGATCTTCCTGCTTCAGACTCCTGAGCAAAGTGGGATTTCAGGCCTATGCTACCAGGCTCTTTCAGGAATTGTGTGTGTGTGTATACACACAACACACACACACACACACACACACATATCCCTGAACACAAATGCCCACACATGTGGATATATATACAATATATATCCCTGAGTGCACACACAAGTATGTGTGTATGTGTGTATGTGTGTCTGTGTGTGTGTGTGTGTGTGTGTGTGTGTGTGTGTGTATGTGTGTGTCAGTCAAAGGACAGCTTTGTCTCCTGCTTCCACCAGGCAGGTTCTGTCAGCCCTCTTTCAGGGACTGTAAATAAAACCATGGGAGTTGTACCTTCCTAAGCCTGGTTCTGGCAAGGTGAGAGTTTGCTTCCTCTCAGGCCTCCTGGTGTCCGTCCTGCCTGCCTTGCACGTGGGAACACGCCTCAGTCCTCCTAGCTCTGAGTGGGAATGAGGAGCGTGCACTGAAGGAGACTGTGAAGCAGCTTTGAGAGCCGTTCATGCTGAGCGTGTGTCCTTGGGCAAATTAATTACGTCCCAACTAATTTTGTTCAGTGTCCTCAGCAGAAAGAGTAACGAGCTGAGGTGCGTAATGTACTCTAGACTTCTTTCTAATAGGTGGTCAACAATATTAGTCTTTCTTTCTTCGCCTTGCTCAGGGTGTGGGGAACTCTGGAAAATTGTGAAATACTTCTTATAACTGTTGCCTTATTAACAGACTCCCAATTCATTTTGACTTTTTTGTTGTTGTTGTTGTTAGCTGAATCCCTTTCCCAGAATCCCTTGTATTTTGGAGTGACTGCATGGCCCAGTTCTGGACAGAGAGACAGAATAGGAAGCTCTTGAGAACGTCTGGAAATCTTGTCTTCCTCAAAGAAGGGATAGATATGTTGGCCAGTGTGCTGGTGACTTTCTTTTTGCTTTGAGCCAAGGTGGGATCTCTGGATTCCTGGGTGCCACTAGACAGGAGACCTCTTCTAAGTGGTTTGGAATCTCGCTTCTTCTCTGTAAAACTTTGTTTCAGGTGACTGATCCCTGAGTGTCCATGTCTCCGCCTCTTCTGAGATGCTGTGGCCTCTGTGTGAATCTGGACAAGACATCCCTACCCCCCACTCCCACCCCGCTGCTTCAGTGGGAGCTGGGCTGCTTGCTTAAGGTACAGGGAGTTGCCAAGACAAGTCAGGGAAGGCCTTGTCTTCAAGTTTGGACTACTTGCATATTGTCTGACTTAGCCTTTGAAAGGTGATCTTGGTCGCTGTATTAGTTTCCAATGGCTGCTCTAACAACTCACACACAGTGTCTTAGCTAATGCAAATGTATTATCTTACACTTCTAGCAGTTAGAAGCTTGAGATGGGTCTCAATGAACCAATAACATCAAGGTGTGGCCAGGCCTGTGGTTTCTGTTGGAGAGCCCAGCAAAGAGCTGTTTCCCTGAAGCCTTTACCAGCTTCTAAAGAGCCCTGTATTCCTTGGCTTGTGGGCCCCTCCTCCAAGGCAGCAACTTTGGACAGGGTCCTTCTCATGCTGTGGTCTTTCTGGTTCTCCCTTTTGAGTCCTTATATTTAAAAAATCCTACCAGGTTAGGCAGTGGTGGCACAGACCTTTAATCCCAACACTGGGGGGGGGGGGGGGGGCAGAGGCAGGTTGGCCTCTGAGTTCAAGGCCAGCCTGGTCTACAGAATAAGTTCCAGGCCAGCCAAAGCTATACAGAGAAGCCCTGTCTCAGGAGGGAAAAAAATCCTCATAACTACAGTAGGCCCACAAAAAAAAAAAATCCAAAATCATTTCCCATTTTAAGACTAGCAAGCTAAGCACAGTACTGTAATCCCAGTGTACGGAAGGTAGGGGCAGGAAGATTGTGAATTTAAGAGCAGCCTGAATTTATGATGAGACCCTGTCTCAAGACAAAACAAAAACAAAACAAACAAGACACAAGGGCCAGGGGTGTAACTCAGTGGCAGAGACTTGCCAAACATGTACAAGACTCTGGGTTCAATCCTTAGCAAATGGAACCAAAGCAAACTAAACTCCATCCAATTAGCAGCCCCAATTTCATCTGCAACTTCAGCCCCTCCTCTTTGCCTTATAATGTAACATATTAAAAGGCTCTAGGGATTAGGAAAAAGACATCCTGGTGTGTGTGTGTGTGTGTGTGTGTGTGTGTGTGTGTGAGTGAGTGAGTGTGTGTGTGTGAGTGAGTGTGTGTGTGAGTGTGTGTGTGAGTGTGTGTGTGAGTGTGTGTGTGTGAGTGTGTGTGTGAGTGAGTGTGTGTGAGTGAGTGTGTATGTGTGTGTGAGTGTGTGTGAGTGAGTGAGTGTGTGAGTGAGTGTGTGTGAGTGAGTGAGTGTGTGAGTGTGTGTGTGAGTGTGTGTGTGAGTGTGTGAGTGTGTGTGTGAGTGTGTGTGTGTGAGTGAGTGTGTGTGTGTGTGAGCATGTATGTATCTGTGTGCTCACACATACATGTTTTTTTTTTCTGCCAATTCCAGTTTCTTTTTCAATTCCAGTTTCTTTAAGCTCTTATTTAGTTTCTCTTGGTAGCTTCTTGAGTGACTCCTGTGAAGTTAGTTAACAAAGCCACCTCATTGTATGGACAGGGGCATTGGGGAAGACCAGGACCACTGAGGAGACCGGCCAGGGTGAGAGCTATTCCAATGTGCATAATGTGAGTGGAAACAAGGCAAAAATCCAGAGGAATGAGTTAGAGTAATTACAACCTCTTAAAAGTGCATTTTATTAATGTATAATGATGGTGGAAAACAGAAAGACAAATACTAAGATACTAGAAGTAGCAATATTAGGCTGCTGGGCACAAGGATACACATCATTCTTTTTTTATATAAAGCCAAATTCCTAGCAATATGGTTAGATTATGTTTATGAAGAGAAAAAGTTAAGATTGAACTCATTTTATTGAAGCGACCCTCTTCTCTTGCGTGTTTTCCAAGTCCTCTTTCCCCAAGAGCATTTTACATGTAACCACCCACTCAGAGGTTACTTAGAAACAGAGAGGGAGACAGAAGGGAGCCTGGGAGGGAGTTTCTGGAAGAGGGAAATAAACATGACAGCAGGAGGCTGGCTGCGGTGGGTTCAGACTGCTCAGCCTGCCCTGGCTTTGCCAGTCAACCCTCTGCTGGCTTCTCTGGAGACAAGTAATTAGTATGCGCAGAGCAGCCTGTTAAGCCACTCCACTTTTAATG